GGATGCGAGTAAATTTTTGAGTGTTTGAGAGTGTCTTTTGAAATCTCGAAGAGTTCCCCTTGAAGTCTTAAAGGATGTCTTTGATGTCTCAAAGGATGTCTTTGAGTGCAACTTTGTTGTCTTTGAGTAAGTCCTTGATGTCTCGAAGAGTGTCTTTGATTTCTCGAAGAGTAACTTTGGTGACACTGAGTGTGTCTTTGTTGTCTCGAAGAGCACCTTTGACTATATTTCTTACTTAACGACATATAATTGTTTACGAAAGTGCTGAAAAAAGTTACATATGAATATTTTAGCAAAGTGAAAGGTTACTTTAGTTAAGAACAGTGTTGGAAAGAGGCTACACATGACTATTTTAGATGAGAGAAGTGATATTTCAGTTAAGAAAATGACAGAGAAACATGATGAAGTAACTATTTTTTTTAGTTGACTGATGAATAATTTTAGTTAAGGAAAAAGACAAAATATGATGAGGGAGACTATTTTTGTGCTCCCCAAAGTATAATGTCAGTTAAGAACAGCGATGAAAGATATCTTTGGTTATTTTTTCTTACTTGACGAAAACATAATGGCTGTTACGAAATGATGAACAAGACTATTTCAATTACTTGACGATGGATAAAGTTAGTTATGAACAGTATTGGAAACGTTTCCTTTGACTATTTTTGCTAAGAGAAAGGTTATTTTAGTTAAGAACAGTGATGGTAAGATTCCTTTGACGATTTTTAGCTAAGAGAAAGGTTGTTTTAGTTAAGAACGGTGTTGAATGAGATTAACCCTGACTATTTTCGGTTGATTGGATAATAAGTTTAGTTGAGAAATGACGAAAGTGACTATGTTTTAGTTGATTGGCGAAAGATTTTTAGTTAAGGAACGTTACAAGAAAAGTTTGTCTCTGTAAATTTGGAACTGAATAAAGTGTAGATTTGTTTAAGAACAGGGTTGGTAGAACTATTAAGTTGACTACGAGAATTACTTTGACATAGTTTTGCAAATAAAAACTGGGTGACTAAAATTGTTGAGGGAACTGGATTGCAGTATAATATTATTTGACAAAGAACTAGTTAGTGAATGGAAGAAACAAATTGGTTTAAAGAAACAAAGAACATAAAAAAATTGAGGTTAAGTAGGGGAATGAACACAGTGAACATACGGTGAACACAGAAAACATGTAAGAAAAAGTTGATGAATAGAGTGAACATGCAGGGAATATGAACTTATAGAGAATATGAAGACATGATAAGGAACATAGGGAATACAAAGAATGAACACTGAACATGTGAAGAACAAGCTAAGAACATTGAGAATATGAATACTGAGTATTAAAGTTATACAGAGAACATATGATGTACATGAAAACATGACAAAGAACATAGTGAACATACGGGGAAAATGGTAGAAAAAATTTGAACTGAGCATGCTGTGAGCATTTGTAGAACATGGAGCGAACACAGAAAACATGGACAAAAATGTGAAGAACACAGCTGAATATAGAGAAAATATGCAAATACAGTATGATGATTATTGAAGGTTTGGATACGTTGGGGATGAAAGATAATTACACAGGTTGGGGTTATGTGACTACTCTGATAAAGAGTTAGGCTGGAGAGGGAGTTGATCGGATATATTTATGTTCGATGATCTAAGACAGAGGAAATGGAGCTTGGCTAATGTCCAGATTAATTTTACAACGTTAGAAGTAAGGTGATCTTAAATCTCAGGTGATTTAGTTGGATAATAAAGAACTTGTACAAATGAACTAAGCTGGGGAACAAGAGTTGAAACTTGATAACTGAACTGGTTTTTATTTACTATGTCTGAAAATGTAGTTGGGTGTTTAAATCTCAGGGGGATTTGGACTGATAGTAATGAATTTACAGGAGTGAACTTGGACAGAGGACAAGACCTAGAGTTTTATAATTGTTTACATCATATTTACTATGTCTGAAATACAGAGGGTAAATATTTCTGGGAAATTGATGGGTTATTTACAAAGATAGGAAGAGAGAGAGAGGGACGGTCCAGATATTATGGAGAAGATAAGATAAGATTAAGAGATGACCTGCATGGGACGTCTGGCTGGCGGTCAAAAGTAAACACAGGTGCAGCGAGAGATTGCGAGGTAAGGGGGAGGGAGGGGTGTGATGTACGAGCAGGAGATGCAGGGGGGAGGGGAAGGCAGTGAAATGATTCAGATATATAGCAATATACTAGTTTCTCAGTAAGAATCCCATAAGAACTTAACAAAACTCGTAAGACATTATTTTCATCATAAGAACTCTTAACAAACTCGTATATTATTTTCGTTATAAGAACTTTAACAACTTCTAAAATCTGTCACTGACAAAATTTACCTGAAAACCCTGGCTCATAAACACGAATTTGAATTTCTCCCATAAGAACTCTTAACAAACTTCTAAAGACTCGGAAATTATTTTCATCATAAGAACTTTTAACAACTTCTAAAATCTGTGACTGACAAAATTTACCTGAAAACCCTGGCTCACACAGAGGATTTTGGAACCTGAAAACCCTGGCTCACACAGAGGATTTTGGAACCTGAAAACCTTGACTCACACAGAGGATTTTGGAACCTGAAAACCTTGACTCACACAGGGGATTTCCCTCCCCCCAACAAAAAAATGTTCTGTGGCATGTCTTCCCTACTACTATGGTGGTGATGGCAGGGTGGTGATGGCTGGGTGGTGATGATGGTGATGGCTGGGTGGTGATGGTGGTGATGGCTGGGTGGTGATGGCTGGGTGGTGACGGTGGTGATGGCTGGAGTGATGATGGTGGTGATGGCTGGGCGATGATGGTGGTGATAGCTGGGTGGTGATGGCTGGAGTGGTGATGGTGGTGATGGCTGGGTGGTGATGGTGGTGGTGATGGCTGGGTGATGATGGTGGTGATGGCTGGGTGGTGATGGCTGGGTGGTGATGGCTGGGAGGTGATGGTGGTGATGGCTGGGTATTGATGGTGGTGATGGCTGGGTGGTGATGGCTGGAGTGGTGGTGGTGGTGATAGCTGGGTGGTGGTGGTGGTGATAGCTGGGTGGTGATGGCTGGAGTGGTGGTGATGGCTGGGAGGTGATGGCTGGGTGGTGTTGGTGGTGATGGCTGGGTAGTGTTGGTGGTGATGGCTGGGTATTGATGGTGCTGATGGCTGGAGTGGTGGTGGTGGTGATAGCTGGGTGGTGATGGCTTGGTATTGGTGGTGGTGATGGCTGGGTATTGCTGGTGGTGATGGCTGGAGTGGTGGTGGTGGTGATAGCTGGGTGGTGACGGCTGGGGTGGTGATGGTGGTGATGGCTGGGTGGTGATGGCTGGGTGGTGATGATGGCTGAGTGGTGATAGTTGGGTGGTGATGGCTGGGTGGTGATGGCTGGGTGGTGATAGTGGTGATGGCTTGGTGGTGACGGTGGTGATGATGGCTGAGTGGTGATAGTTGGTGGTGATAGCTGGGTGGTGTTGTGGTGATGGCTGGGTGGTGGTAGTGGTGGTGACGGCTGGGTGGTGATGGTGGTGGATGAAGTGGTAGTGGTAGTATAGTAAGGACAGAACGGTGTGGTGGTTGGTTGTGTAAGCTGTAGGAGTAGTGTGTGGATGGGTGGAGTTAAGGCGTGCCATAGTGGGGTGGTAGTTGGGGTAGGTGGGGGTTTATAGTAGAGGGGGTATTGGGTGCGGTGTTAGGGTGATAGTAGTTCAAAGGGTGGGTATTTTGGTGATTTTTAAGGTGGTGGTGCTTGTTGTGGTGGTGGTAGTAATGATAGTGGTTGTGATGGTAGTGTGGGGGGAGGTGGTGGCAGTAGTAGTAGTTGTGGTGATAATGATGGTGTTAGTAGCATGGGGGGGGGTAGTTGAGGGTAGTGGTTGTGGTGGTGGTGAAACAGTGTCAGGTGTTGAATGGCAGCTGTGGTAGTAGATAACGCTGGACGTATAATGTTGCACCTATTACCCTCCACACCTGCAACGATCCCTCCACACCTGCAACATCCCTCCACACGCGTTACCCTACACATCTGCAAGAATCCCTCCACACCCGTTACCCTCCACACCTGCAACCATCCCTCCACGCGTTACCCTCCACACCTGCAACCATCCCTCCACACGCGTTACCCTACACACCTTTAAGAATCCCACCACACCCGTTACCCTCCACACCTGCAACCATCCCTCCTCACGCGTTACCCTCCACACCTGCAACCATCCCTCCACACGTGTTACCCTCCACATCTGCAACCATCCTAACACCCCTGTTACCCTCCACACCTGCAACCATCCTAACACCCCTGTTATCCTCCACACCTGCAACCATCCTCCCACCCCTGTTACCCTCCACACCTGCAACCATCCCCCCACCCCTGTTACCCTCCACGCCTGCAACCATCCCCCCACCCCTGTTACCCTCCACACCTGCAACCATCCCCCCACCCCTGTTACCCTCCACACCTGCAACCATCCCCCCACACCTGTTACCCTCCACACCTGCAACTGTCCCCTCACCCCTGTTACCCTCCACACCTGCAACCATCCCCCCACCCCTGTTACCCTCCACACCTGCAATCATCCCCTCACCCCTGTTACCCTCCACACCTGCAACCATCCCCCCCACACCTGTTACCCTCCACACCTACAACCTTCCTCCCAACACTGTTACTCCCTCCCCACACCTACAACCTTCCCTCCTATCCCTGTTACCCCCCTCCTCACACCTACAACCATCCCTACACCCCTGTTACCCCCCACACCTGCAACCTTCCCCCCACCCCTGTTCCCCCCACCCACACCTACAACTTCCCCCCCCCCCTGTCCCCCCCCCCCACAACTACAACCTTCCCGCCACCCCTGTTACCCTCCACACCTGCAAAATTCTGGCAAACAAGCCGGTTGTGGCATATGAGGACCTTCAATATTTTCATGACTTCAAAACGATTCCAACATATCAGCCAGTTTTTCCATATTTACAACAAGCTTGCAATTCCCCCAAACAATAAGGACCGAATGGTAAAACTGCGCACACTGATTACTGATATTACCACCAAATTTGGCACATACTACATTCCCAATAAAGCACTCAGTTTGGATGAAGGAACAATGTCGTGGCGTGGTCGTTTATCCTTCAAAGTTTACAATCCAAATAAACCAGATAAGTATGGGGTAAAGTTGTACATGCTGGCTGAGGCAGGGTCTGGCTACATAATTGACTTTGAGGTGTATGCCGGAGTTGGTAAGACAACAGTGGAGACAGTGATGTGCTTGATGCAGCCATTATTGCACAAGGGTTATCATCTCTATATGGACAATTACTATAACTCTGTCCATCTCACAGAATTGCTACGGGAACATGGTGTGTACACTTGTGGAACAATCAGATTGCAGCGTGGCGCCCCCTAACTTCTGCAACAACAAGCAAAAGGTAAATTCCCAGTTGATCAAACCATTTTCAGGCGCAAAGGACAATACTTTTATCATCCTATGGAAAGACAAGAGAGAGGTGTCATTGATCACAAACTGCCACAATGCTGACACACAAGAAGTACAACGAAGGAAGAGAGTGAGAAAACGTGACGGAGCAACATAAGTAAAGATTGTAACTGTGAACAAACCCAATGCCATTTGCGACTACAACACCAACATGAAAGGTGTTGATCACTTCGACCAAATGGTCAAATATTACAGGTTCACC